GGAAGGAAGGAAGGAAGGAAGGAAGGAAGGAAGGAAGGAAGGAAGGAAGGAAGGAGCTATTACCACATTTGATGGACATCTCCACCCTTGGAAAATTACTGAAGAAATATGTGTAATGGTGTCCTAGTTTCTCTGCCCATAAACGGTATCTGTGAATTTCAAGTGCCATTTCTTTGCATTCCTGAAAGACTAAATAACATCAGCTGTTTTTATTTCTGTTAGAAAAATGTGCCACAGAAACTATATACCTAATGTGTGTGTGTGTGTGTGTGTGTGTCTTTGAGTCAGTGTTGATTCTTGACAACTGCCTGGACAAGCCCCTGCAGTTTTTTTGGCAAGGTTTCCAGAAGTGGTTTGCCATTTCCTTCCTCCTAGGGCTGAAAGAGGGTGTGACTGGCCCAAGGTCACCCAGGTGGCTTCTTGTCTAAGGCAAGACTAGAATTCATGGTCTTCCAGTCTCTAGCTTGTTGCCTTAACCACTACACCCAGCTGGCTCTTATATACCTCATACACCGCTAAAACGTTAAATGCTGAGTTTCTAATATAGTAAATGCCATTAGGTAGGGTAGATCCTTTTAAAAAAATCCACCCTTGGATTATGAAGATGTGGACAAGACGTAGATATTATTCTAGATTATCTATTCATCTTTATGAATATCTGTGGAGGCATTTTTTAAAAAAATACAGCATTAGAAGGAAGACCAGAATCTTTTATACCATATTTGACTCTGAAACTTCTGATGTTCTGCAAATGTAGGTGGTTTCCTGCCATCCTCGCATCACTGGTTTTATCTGTTTTGCTTGCTTTGTGTATATCACTTAGTATTTTCCATTTCTGTGCTCTGGCTATTCAAGGGTAAAGTGCAGCTCCTTTTTCCCACCATATGCTTCTCAAACTTTATTTTGGGGAGGGGGAGACACAAAGGTCCACAGTAGGCATTGCTTGTCCCCAGAGGTGGTGGTTGTTTTGAGAGGAGCTGTTTCAGGGAGCTTTATTTCCTTGTTTTGCAAATGCATTTTAATTCATTGTTCAATGCACTGGTTTTAAAATACATAGAACCCATTTTGAGGTTCACACTCCAGCCTTGCATACTATATTTGTGACCTCAAAAAGGTAAACTTACTCTCTAAAATGTGGCTATAAACCCTGCTCTAGGAAAAATGACTATGTGATTTGCGTTCAGCATTGAACTGGTCTCCTTTCGGGTGCCCTATTAGGATCTCAGCTCCTTCAAGGCAACCTCATTTTTACTGCTACAGCAGGGTCAGAGGACAAAAAAGTAATTCTCACCACCCCACCTAAAATTATTAAAACCTTGTCTCCTTGTGCTTTTGCCCAACTCTAGCCAGAGCACTATTCCAAAGACACCACCTTCTTCATTGTTTAAGAAGGATGTACTTAATTGGTGCTCATCCTGCTGCAGTGTTCAATCATATCTGCTGCTGGTATTTTTAGCCCCTTCTGTCCACCAGAAGTTTGCCTTACCTGAGTGTTTGAAGATGGTGGGATTTCGCCCTCACGCAGGGCAGGTCTCTCTTTCATCTCTCTGATTATTTGCTCATTGTCAGGACAATCCTGTTTGAAATACTTCCTTGGTGGAGGTTTGGGTTTGAATGACCTGGGTTTTCTAACCAGGATCTCTGTGCACTTTTTTATAGTATTTGGTGAAAGGGGACTGACTTCTTGAGATACTGATGGGGAGGACTCATTTCCTAAACTTGTTTTGGGAAATGAATGCAGGGAGCCTCGTGGTTGGGTAATTGCTACATCAAGATGGTGTTCTTTGCCTTGGCAATCAGTCAACTGATAAAGCAGGCTATTTCCACAAGATGACCTGGGGTTGTAACTGCTATCACTGCTGGAACGGATCATTGGCTTTTGAGAATGATGGCTAAGGTGAGCATCATTCTTCTCCGAGTATTTTTCACAGGGAGCTTTCTTAAGCCAACTGCCACCTTCATTAAAAGAAAAACATGGACATAGTCAAACACTGCAGGGGAGAGAAATAACATAATGGCTAGAATCCAAAAAACTTCACAAATAGTTCCATGCACCCCAAAGGGCCTGGGATTTGTTTAAGGACTCTCAGTGGCCCTTTCTAACGCAGCCACCTGCATAGTAAAACATGAACAAATGTGCAAAAGGTCTATGTTATGACCTGGGAGGCTGCAGTTCAAAGTTTAAAAACCTCCACTGGATCACCGCATGTCAAGGAACTAATCTAAATTCCTTCCAGTCGCTGGTAACTCTGTCCAATATGGCATCTGATTTTACTTCTCATTCCACCTAAAATTAATGTCTGGCTTTACTAATACAAAAATAATGGCCACATTTATTTTTTTCTTCTGTTAAATTTGCTCACGGAAGAGTTATGGTTTCCTTAATGAAGGTGAAGATGCTTCCTATCACAAGGGGAGTCATGTCTTACTTTAGGGTCTGAAAGCCTCAAAGGTCCTCAATGTTATGATGCAATGATATTATCAAAGAAGACGCATTTCAGTCCAATTTTTCTGGCTTTGGATGGGCTGGGGAGGGATGTATGATACAAAATGTTCATTTTCCGGAAGTTCTAAGCCTATTTTACATCTTGCGAAAACAAAAAGAAGAAACATCCCCGGATCAGTTTAAGTCCAGATCTAGGCAATTGCTGGATCATATTTTAAAAACTGCAGCTCAGAATTGTTTGCTATTTTGTCCCAGAAGCTGCAGTTCTCTCTCTGTGGTATCTGGGTACCAACTCTGGTAAGAGGCTGCTGGACCAGAAAGGTCTCTAATCTGATCTGGCCTGGCTGGATACTTAAACAACATGCCAAATACTTCATATCTAAATAGAGGGGAAATTCCTTACCTTCTGCATTCCAGTGGAACTTCTCTCTTTCAAACTTGTTGTTTTCCATGGCATTGGAAACAGCATCCTTTAGTTGCTGTTCAGAAACCTGCAATATGCCACAGGCCATCAAACCATGCTGAAAATTTTAAAGTCTGGCAAAAGACTGCCTTTATTTCCATTTCTTCAATACTTTGTAATCACACAACAACTACTTTTAAGTTTTCCCTGGAACTTTGGGTGGGTTTCACTATTAAATTCTGAAGTTCAGTCTTTTTGCCCAATGTTTAAATGAAGATATCTGAGGGGGGTTACTCAATGCAGAATGAATTCATGCCAAGACTTGTTAACAAATCAACTTTTTGGCTTCTCATTTGATCTAAGGCAAATTGACCATCTCCATTCTTGCCCAGGCAAATATTATATATGGCTTTACAGCACTTTGGATCCAAAAAACAACAAGATACTTCAGAGAAGACAGTGTTAGAACTGGCTGCAACTTCTTAAAACTACTGCATCTTTTTCCCAGAAAAGATATGCAGTTGCTTTAAGCATGTCCCATGCACTCTGAAACATCTTTTCCCCTTCAGTTTTGAAGTGCTACACAATATTAATTTCAAGCAGTAAGAGTTAAGCTACATGGTTGCTGTTGAGGGACAAAAAATGGAAAGAAAAAGAAAGGCCAAGAGGTTCAAAAGCGTGATGGTGGACACCCTTGCAAGGCTATAGGCCCCAGCAGGTCCCTGATGACACCCAGGCCTGATTTAGGTCCTCCTAAATAGAAAGACTTTGCCAACAAGATCTTCTTGGTACTTAAATTTTTTTTTTGACTTTGGGGGGAGGGTTATTACGGCAGTTGTCCCAGTGCTTGGGAATCATCAAAATATAGGAGTTTCATTCACTTTCCATCTTACCTGTGGATCAGGATGCCTGCTAATGATAATTTGCACAATGCCAGGATTGCAGTGGCTTAAAACAGCATGAACTTCACTAAGGGTCATTGTTTGAACTGATGCCTCATTGATTTCTACTATTTCATCTCCACCTCTTCAACAAGATTGCCATTGAAAAGAAAAAGAAATGTTAAGACCAGCATTATCAACATTATATATTTTTGCAGACCTTAGACATTACTATTATAATTTCTGTATGGTACATTATGACTTTGCACAGGGAGCCTCAAGCCCAAAGAATTCTAGCTAGTACTCTACTTCCAAATGAGTGATCCATATATAGGCAGATTAAGGCAACAAGTTTCAGGGTTTTTTTCTCATACTCTTTTTGATCGAAAGGGGACTTATCTCATTTGTGAAGGTGGGGCAGCCCTTACTTTGTTGATTGCTTTGGAAACAGCTACTAGACATCTTACTGATTTGAAAACCAGCTCTCACATTTATTTTATCTGAGGCTAAAACTAACTCCTTCTAGGCTAGATGATTGGGTCACTGTGTTTATATGACATGCTAATCCACCTCCCAACCTATTTTAGCATGTTATTCGAAGGTCAATGGCAGTTCTCTCTCTTTCGGGAGGGAGCAAATTTTAGAAAACAAAGCACTATAATAGGGAGATTTAATCTCTCTGCAGCACGCAGCAGCCCTAATCCTGCCCAGTTTCATGAAAGTGCAAAACAAATGGAGGCTCAGCTGAGTTGGGTTAGACTAAGATTGAGTCATAACACAGAGAACAAGTACTCATGCTCCGATCTTGCGTTCATATTATTGTTACTTCTCTAAACTTTCTCCGGATGTTCTGCTTTGCAGGAAACAGACCTTTAGCATAACATATAGCAGCTATGTTGGGCCAGCAGTTTCTTTCACTGTTACAGTCTGGCCTTTCACTTTGCAGGGGAAATTCAATATTGAAACATTTCAAGTTTAAGTAGGGAAGAAATAAAGAATTGCAGAGTGTTTTGCAATGCATGCGGCTGAATTGAGTTTGCCAATAATGGCTGTAAGGAGCGCCCCTCTTTTCAGGCACAGAGTTGGGTTGGCCTTTGAATGACAAGCCAAGCCTGGCACTGTAACTTCTCGCCTTCTGAAAAAGTGGGAAAGGGATGTCAGAATGCTTTGGAAATCATTCAGTCTTGGCATACCAAGATGCCCAGAGTCCCCTATTGTGGGGGAGATGGGCGGGGGAGAAATCCAACAAATAAATAAAAATAAAAATAAATACCTGAGCCTCCCATCCAGATGAGCAACTGAGCCAGGAGAAAGAGTGTGGATGAATATTCCTGAAATGCACCGGGAATAAGGGATGTTGCACAAGCCAATGCCTAAGCCCACACCAGCCTCTGCGGGACACATATTAGAAAGATAATGGAAGACAAAGAGAAAATGAGCTATTCAAATAATTAAGAAAGAACCCCGTACAGTCAACTCCATGTCAATGTTGAGTGTCAGCCTTGCTTCTGTCCTCGACACTCAGCATTTCTGCATGCGTGCCTGGAGGCTTGGTGCACCCAATGTGCTAAACTGTGGCTTGCTTTGTCATGGTTTCACATGCCAGAATAGTACCCACATATTAAGACACAAGCCTGGTTTGCAAGTTACAACAGCTGAGTAGACATATTAGGCTAGCCAAACAGGTCATATTTTGTGTGAACTCAGTTCCTGTAGTACAATGATTGCTCTCCCAACTCCTGCCAAACACAGGTGATATTTTGGCACAGCATTACCCAAAGAGAAGGAAAAAAGGGCTCAGAGTTACAACAAATTTGAGCCAAGTCTATTCTGAAAATGCTTGGTTATTTTCAGCTGTTTGGTTATGTTTACTGCTCACCTTTATTTAAGGAAACTTCCATCATGATCCTGTCATTGGGGTTCATGGTATTCAGAGGAAAGGCTGTACTTTCTGACCCAAAGGAACTGTGCTCCTTGGTGATGCACATGTTGGTACTTAGTGAACGACAAAGGTGGGACGATAAATAGCTAGTGGCAGAAGATGGGGTGCTGAAACTCGTTCGAACTGTGAGTGTAAGGAGACCTTTTTTGGCCTGCTAGAAATAAGGAAGCATTGTGAGCTGAATAATAATAGTAGTAATAATAATAATAATAATAATAATAATAATAGTAATAATAATAATAATTCATGTAGGTGAAAGAACATTGCATAGGGCCATAACCTTAAATTTCTGCAAGGCTTCATGGTGTGTGAGTCCATGCATCGATTCTCCATTCAGTTCTAGGATTTCATCTCCTGTTAAGTCAAAATAAACAATTTTATTCACTCGTTTTTGGCATGTTCACCAGCCTTTCCATGATGTTTATGGGGTTTATTTTCAGATTTTGTTGAATCTGAAAATATATTCTGTTTAGAATATATTTTCTAAACAGAATATAATACACACACATTTTTCCCATTTGTTAGCTATATGTTAGGTCAAAACTACTAGAAATTAAGGCTATAGTCAACTATTTTTTTGTAAATTTGTTCATAAGCTTACTTTGTTCTGTTTTCTGCATTAATATGCAAGTTAAAAATCTGCATTGATGTTCAGAACAACCTATTTACATACAGTGTATATTATTATTACATAAAATAGTAACTGCTAAATGCATTTTATCTAAATATACACATTTCTGGACATATTGGTATTTTTTTAAAAATGCATATTTTAAAATACATTTTGGGAGTTTTTTTTTAAACTCAAGGTGGAAATCCAAGTTGAGAAAGATGGGGTAGCAGCTGAAGAAGAATTATGCTCCAAACTCTGTGTTAGCCTATGCATCAATTTGCATCAGAATTCTCAGAGAACTGAATTTTCCAAGCTTACAATAATTTAAAGCCAAGAGATGACAATCATGTTTGTGAAAGCACCCAGAAACTGATAAGAAATGGAAGACAAGTCTATTTTTTTCATGATAGACCTTCAGATGCTTACAGAACTTGGATATGTGTCTCCTTATCTTCTGTAACTTCTGTAGCTTTTGTAGCTTCTGTTCTGCAAACCAAATTGTCTAGTTCCAACTCATTTAAATACAGGGACAACATTATCCTACCTTCTTGTAACCTTCCATCTGCAGCAGCCGCTCCCCCAGGAAAAATTGTCTTCACATAGATGCCAATGGGACCATAAATGCTGTCTTGACCACCCACAATGCTGAAGCCCAGTCCCTAATGAGGGGGAACAGAGGGAGCATTTTACTTGATTGATCACCTGCTCCTTTTTTAACTGCTCAAACAAGCAATCAAAACAACTTCGTTTGCGAAAAGTTCTTGGAGGGAAAAAAAAGTGCTTTTATTAGTCCCAAATACTGAAAGGCACTGAGAATTTATTTCTAAATAGCTAGGGATGAATCAGTCTTCCTGTTGGCTCCTGATAGTTTTCCTTGTATTCTGTACCATTCAAATTCCTCATCTTTCAATAATATTTAAAATGCATGAAAAAAACTATTTCTCGCTTCCTGTTTATAATTAGAATGGACTTTTTTTTGGAAGGAAGAAGAGGTCTAATTCATGACAAAACTAGTAGCCAACTGCAGAAGCATGCACGGAGCAGGAGCTCACTTTAGAAAAGTTTCTTTTTTTATGCCTTTTCAGCAACAAGAAGGATAATGGTATAATACTGCTATAATTGCACTCAGTCCCTGATCTGTTAGGATGAAAGAGCGTTAAACAGAAATGAAATCTTCCACCCCATGTTGCAATTCTCCAGACCAATCTCTCCCTAAAAGGAAGAATAGATTTTTAAAATTCTGAATCTAGACCAACCTTTTCTGTCCCAGTGATCACATATATTACTAAGGAAAGGCATATAGCAAATTTCTCACCTTCCCTTGACCCTTCATTAAAACAATATTGGAGATCATAGAGGCCTGTAAACCTGAAGACGTGGGCATCAGCTGCGCGGTACTTAGTGAGCGAGATGATCTGGAAAGGGGCTACAGGTAAAAGAAACAGCAAGGAAAAGTTAACATAATGCTGGAGAATTTTTTTAAAAAATTGTGTTTCTATTTGAATTATCACAATTCTTCCCTACACTGGAGCGGTGAATTAGATGCTGGCAGTGTATCGTTCATTATTCTTCATACTCCAAGGATGATTGTAGTTACAATCTACAGTCATCAGTTGGAGGGCTCTTAGTGCCTTTACTGCATCAACATCTCCTCAAGGTTTCTGTTAGTGCCATGCAGAGAAGAGAATGCGACCTCTTCTTCCCACCATTCTCATTCAACCAATGAAAAGAGAATGTGCTTTTAGAAATCTTTTCAGAGAAGGAGCATTTCCCTTGAGTGAAACTCTCATGGGTGGATGAGTGTGTTCTTGTATTTATTTAATTAGGAAGTAGCCCAGGGATGTGTGTTAATGGCCACTTCCTAATTAAATAAGTGCAAAAACAACACATACACAACAAATTGTCTTTCGCTGAACAATACTCGCTCTCCAGCAGACTCCTGGGCAGTTAGAGGGGTGTCCTGCCCTTGAAAAACTGGTGGAGAATTTCTACTTTCCCTGGATAAATTCAGAAAAACCACCCACCCAATTTCTTTGGGCGGACAATTCCTAAAGGCCCCTTGGGCTCAGACTGTATTTCAATCCTTACTTGCTCATCCAGCAACTAAACGGTGGATCTTCTACAAAAAAGGAGCATTTGCATTTTACTGATGATATACAGTTTTTCAGGAACACCGATGGTAAAGAAAGGTAGAACATTCGGAGATGCAGAAGCTGTTCTCCTTTGTCCATGGAGCCCCGAAGAAGTAATCCACGTGTGACCTCATCCTTTTGAGATCATAGATAACTAGAAAAGGGACTTTTGGAAAGCAGGCTGCTTTGTTATAGGGAAGCATTAGATGCTCATGTTGGAGGCACAATGAGGAAGGAAATGTTTGGCCTGAAAGCTGTGCACCATATGCATTGTCATTTCTTGAGCATTCCACAGTCTGGTGGATTTCCTTTTCCTCTTACCTTTACAGCTGCTTTTCCTGCTGCATTCTCCAGCTGTTGAGAGAATGACTTTCTGTTGCTATAAAGGGACTGTCTGTACCGAGAGGCTGATTTCTTTACCATATAACTATCAATATCTCCTATCCAGTATGGACTAGCACCTTAGGGGGGAAAAAAGTAGATGGTAGAGATAAACACCTTGGTTGCATTTCTTTCCAGAACATTAACATTTCGCCATTTTTAACAGAAATCTGCCCGGTTCTATTTCTGGATCACTTTATTTGTTTAATGTCTATGTTAAAAATAGAAATGATTTTAAAAGTATTTACTTTTATACCTTACATTTGCATTGCATCTTTTTCTCCAAGGAGATTGTCGTAGTATGGTGTGTGTGTGTGTG